CATTCAATCAATCAATCAAGATAACTTTCTTTTCATGAAAAAATAATGAAAATACAAGGACTATTTGAACCAACAGCCTAAAATGACTAGTGGCAAGTACAAAACAATGTGCAACAAAGAATGCACAGGTCTACGTTGAGGTGAAAAGCAAAAACTATCATATTAATACAGATATTACACGAATAAATATTTGCTTGTGTACATGCATAACTATTATATTGTAACTAGCTTGCTATATTCGCAATTCCCACGGCTAGAGTGACTTAGGTCACTCTACCCACGGCCCATGGGTGGCGTGCCGTGCAATCTAAGATGGCTGCAGAGAGATGGTCAACCCGTAAACTCACATAAGAAAAGACAGGACGCACGGACGTACTCCACGTGCCGCTTTCAACGGATGAATTAGTGATCGTCAAATGAATGTATATCGAACCAAAGTATTTTCCAAACCGATAGGAACTGCCGAATGTTCTCTACCTCATTTCTTGCCGCGGTGCAAAGGGTAGCGGTGCCAGCTGATCGACCGTGTATCAACGATGCTTTGCGTAATCCTGTGTGTTCCTCAGAAAACTGCGTGAACTATAGAACTCACGTGTGAACAGAACGTCACTCTGATATATTTTGTGCTGAGTTCGCCTGGCGAATTCACCGCAGTAGTAGGCCACTATCGAGTAGCGTACCATCGCGGCTGCACAGTACCGCATGTTTAACGTAGCGATGATTTGCAAACGTATTATGCCATCGTCATTACTTGCGATGTAAGCATCATGCAGCTACTTCTTCAACGGGACACAAGCATTTACCTCCCCGTTAAGTAGCGCTTGTGTCACAGCCATGATCAGACTCCAACAGCGTGCGATTCTCTGCACTCGGATGTTGCAGGTTCTATCAGCGTGATCGAAACAAGGATATCGACATGCGTACCGTTTTCGGAACGTCAACATTGCAAAAATTTGTTGAACTACAACGCCGTCAGGACAGCACCGGTGATGTCCAGGAGAAGGTAGCGTGGACTGTACTCGTAACTGCATATTTCACTGCTCTAACTCAATTTCGCTCCGCTGGTCAAGCTCGAGCGTGTTCGCGGCATGCGGTGCTTTGCAATATCCACTGTAATTGGGATACATTCAATGCAAAAAAGTATGCTTTTATTTTGAGCTCACTAAGGATGTTATACAATAAATACAAAGTGACTTAAGAGAATGAAATAACAATAACGCATGACGAGACGTGGAGTACGTGCAACTCTCTGCCTGTGAGCTAGCAGCTGATCGTTCATCACCGCGGTCACTCTCAGCGTGTTGTCAACCACCCACGTCTAGTTAAAAATCCTCGACGTCAAGACGGTTTCTTTGAACATCACTGCTGAAAGTAATCTGAGGAATTCTCTCCACCAAACGACTTCGATAGCACCAACAACGCGTCATTCACCACGAGCAACACTCACGCGGCTTCACTCGCCACGTTTGTTTTGGGGTGCGGAGATCATTTCGCTTCGATACCCGGCAAGAAAGGAATTGCTTAGAGTTACTGTATACTCTACCTTTAGGTAGCAGAGTGGCGCCAAGGTGCGCCATCTTGGGTTCAAACGTCTTGCGGGAAGGCCACTCACCGCCCACATAGGAGCAGCACTCGCACTTATAGCGTTGCTTTATTTTTTGCTTTTTTAATTTGTCATGAAGGTACGAGACCAACTGAGTTGGTCTGGTCACACCTGGAAGCCTTGCTTTTATGTTTACGTTTTTGGTAAGTGGCAGTGACTTAGCTCAGCTATGTCAAGATATACGTAGCGTTAGCAAAGGTTCAGCTGATTATTCTTAGCTTTCCAGATATCATGCTTACAGCTGTTCCAATTACACACACACGGTATACGTATTATGTGGCACATGTATATTTATTTTGCCGGGCAACTACTTCGGGATCCAATGAGTTAAGCTTCTCCACTCTACTGCATCGTTGAGCAGCATTTGCACTCTCCTCCATGGCTATACCACAGTGGCAAACGCCAGTCAGAGGCGCTATCAAGCGGCTCCAGCGCAGTGTCAGACTGCACAGGGAAGGTGCGCGCATCGGCGTCCACATGTCTACCAAGGCTATGACGGCACTCCTCTGGAAAGCGCACACCGGCGGCGGAGAGTCGCGCGCGGCCGCGGCCGGGTGCGAGGGAGGTGCCGGCCCTGGTGCGTGACACCACTGATCGTCTGCGCAGCGCATCGAATTGCGCGCACACCGGCGGCGAGCCGCACGCGGCGGCGGCGGAGTATCATTGCGCATGCGCAGACTAGTGCCACGCGAAATTGACTCAGTGAGGCCAGTGTAGCTAACGCTACAAAAACGTGTGTCAGCTCATCGAACCAGTGGTACATATGTGTATTTATAGTAGGCCATTCATTAGTTTCGGCTTCTTTTGCATTGTTTTTCCCATTTTGATTTATTTTTCACTCTTGATCGCCATCTAGTAGCGATGGGATACTTTTATCGCGTTGGGCTCATTTATTAGCTGTGTGAGTTAACCAGCTAAAGCTTTGTAGTCTTCGACTGAATCGAGCTGGATAGCGATCGAGAGTGTGGAGGCGGAAATGTTGTAGGCCCGTGTGCTCAGATTTGGGTGCACGTTAAAGAGCCCCAGGTGGTCGAAATTTCCGGAGCCCTCCACTACGGCGTATCTCATAATCATATAGTGGGTTTGGGACGTTAAACCCCACATATCAATCAATCAGCGATCGAGAGTGGCCGTGCGACACCCGAGTTAAGCGCGCATCTCGTATTACGCTCGTATTATAATCGCGGCTCACGAAAACTGATGAGAATCGTCGTTCAACAACCCTGTCGTGTCCAACATTCTTTTCACTTTAGGTTTCAAGGCTGCATTCAATTCACGTACTAGCAGCAAGACCTTGCCGATTCAAATGATTATAGTTTAAACTCTCCCTTTATTTTTAGCGTTTGAACCGCCAGACTAATTCCGACATATGCAGCTGACACATGCTGCCCAACTCTGCGTGTATAACGTATTCACTATTGCATCTGTGGCTAATATACATAGGGCAAGTTTTGCAGTGCCGTGGACAGATAAAAAAAAAATTGCCCACAGCTTCCCTCGGGGGAACACTGAGGAGGATGCGGACCATATAATTGGTTAACGGGGTGTTAAAGTGCGACTTACTTGGGTCGATGGCTAAATTGGTTAACGTGGTTGTGAAATGGGGTGTTAAATTGCGACTTACTTGGGTCGATGGCTAGATTGGTTAACGTGGTTGTAGGAGGGGGTGTTAAATGAGTGAACACGTACACACGTATGCGAAAGGGCGGCGCTGGTCGAAGGGACGTCGATCATTGTGTTTGTGGATTCGTTGGAATTCATTTCACCGCGACCTTGGACGTCGACGCGCCGTACAAATTAACCGACGAGCGGCAACTGAGCGAGCGAGCGCCGACCTTGAGTATATATACAGCGCGACGGCGCATGCACTGTCAGCTGTTGAATGTTCTCGAAGCGCGACGCCACATGCGCGTCCACTGGAGAATCGGGAGAATTGTAGATGTGGAACGCGGTGTGTAGAGGAGGAAGGGTGCACAGATGGTGGAGGAGTGAAGCGCGCGCGGTGTGTAGAGGAGGAAGGGATGCACAGATGGTGGAAGAGTGGGCGACGGCGCGACGGCGCATGCGCGCGCGTCAGCTGTCGAATGTTCGAGAAGCGGTGCGGACGGCGCGGACGGCGCGGACGGCGCACTACAAGGCGCGAGTATAAGATGCTTCCGCATCTAAAAAAAAAAGCCAAGTGCATGGGGCGTCAGCAGGGAAGTGGAAAAGGGGCCCTTGCCCCCATTTAGCCACAGCAGCCCTTGCCCTCACTCAGGCTAGACCAGTGCTCTCGCTTTCCCAAAGCCGCAATGCAGCAATGGTTTGCACCCCCAAGAGAAATTCCAGCCGACGACAACACGGCCAAGCGTTCATTCCTTCCGACTGAACACTAATATTTCTATAGCAACACCCGCTGCACCCGCGTTTAGTCGCACGGGTTCTACGTAGTACAATTCAACACAGAATGAATTTGCTGCCGCATTTCTCGTGACCAACAGGCAGCATGGCTACATTACCGAAGAAGCGCGGCGAGAAGGACAACAGCCGTTGTCAACCCTGCTTGATCTGCCCGGAATCTGCGTAGCGTTGGCTTCTCCGCAGTGCAAATGAACCACCTATGGGCACGTGATAGCGCTCCGCGAATAGGGGCTCTGAACTCGTGTAGGCCGAGCGAGCGGCACCCGGAAAACAGTGGCTCAACTCTGCTACCTAAATGTAGCATATACAGTAACTGCAGAATCGCTTCCAGTGTGCGGCCGTCTATCAACGAACGTAAAAAAAAAAAAAAAAGAGCAAGCGGCGCAGCGTAGGCTAAGGTTTGGAAGCGCAAATCGCGAGCCTGCACTACTTTCCGCGTACAATGAATGTTATGAGTGCGCTTGTGTTGTTGTTCTCTCCTTTGGTCCACGTCACGTACCGTGCCCCACTTCTATCTTCCTTAATGAACCGGTACCAACTAGCCCAAATGGCTGTTTTGCTAGAATGTTATGGTATTCATGTACTACAAAAGCACTGACGAATGCTCTACGCACGTAAAACAAGGCGAAGTTTAACTGGAATTGTCAGACGATAACATTTAACTATCCAAAGTGGTTGCTGAAACCTCGCGAAGCTGATACGTGTACTCTGCAGGCTGTAATCGAAAGCGCGAGTTGCCATGTATATTTACGAAAACGTCGCGTCTCGCAAGAACGAATCAGATTTATCGTGTCACGGGCCGTCCGATATATTCACTGATGCACGAAACATACGAAGTGGTTTGTGTTCGTTTCTTGCTAACGCGTTAACACTGCTGCTAGCACCGCCAAACAAGGAAGCATTAGGAGCGTCTGCCTGCTGATCAGTGTTGAGAGGGCGCTCCTGAATTCCGCTAGGCGGCGCGACAGTCTATGAACATTGCGAATACATTGTGCAGGAACGGTACGTACCCAGCTTCGATTAAGGCGTATTACATGAGCACGGAACGTCTGAAAGGTGATTACTTGTACGTGGACCAGGTGCGACTGCACACCGATTTCAACGCCACCAACCATAGGAATGACATCGCCCTTCTAGCGGTAAGCTTGGTGCACGCTACTCACGTGCTCGCTACAATAATTTTATATGTGCGTGTTACTTTTACTGAATAATTTGCGCGAACGTGAGCATGATTACGTTCTAGTGGATTGCTATTACCATGCCTAGAGGGGCTCGTACCCCATCATACACAGAAAAAGGGCTCCCAACATGATTTATTTAGAGTAAAACGTAAATTACAGCATACATATAGCTCAAAAGTTACCACGATGCACCTAAGGAATGGAGACAAGTAGCTTCGTGTAATGTAGTATGTAAATCCTGTATATATAAAATAGAATACACACAAAAAACAATTCACGTGATTTCAAACATTATTTTGATGTTGTTTCTTCCAATGTCATGGTCATATATTCAGTCAACGCACATTCTTGTAGTAAAGATCATTGGTTGCCTTGCGTTTAAACCGGTTTTCCTTTCCTATATTACGACACTTATATATTTCGACAAAGTGAGTAAACAGAAAGTTAATAACCTGAAAACAATGCAAACACCACAGATTCACGAACATAATACCAAAGTCAGCAAGATTTATCGACCATTGTGCGATGCAAAAGTGTTTTACCACTGAAACTGTTATGGTGGTCGTTAAAGCTTTTACTAAAGACAAATGCACTGCTCCAAAGATGCCTTTGCAGAAGCAAAAGAAGCCATGCTGTATTAAATTCTAAATGCTCTAGAAGTTTGTTGGTTCGATTCCGGCTGTGAGGGTCGCATTTTGATGGAGGTAAATTGCTAGACGCCTGTGAACAGTGATATGGCAATGTTGAATTAAGCTATCCAGATTGTCAAAATTTTCAGAGTTCGCCGCTACGGCGTCCTTCAAAATGATATCGTGGTTTCGGGGTGTTGCACTCCAGATAATATTATTAGTAAACCATTAATAATCTGCAAAGTGCAAGGCTGCACTGCACCACTGCGAACTCACCAAATTGTGCTTTCTGGTGGGGGGCTAGGACACAGGATCTAGGCAAGCTACTTGTCCTCTCTCTCATCTTCTTGGTGAAAAATTAGAAGCCTAATAATATCATTATTTCAATACTATGAAATATTAGATAGAATACATTCTTTGTATTATAATTTTTCAAGTAAGCACGCAAACCTTAGGTCAGCATAAGAAAGTAGAACTCACTCAGACTCAATCAAGAAATACGTTGTTCGCTTTGGGATCATCAGACTAAGACTCACTAAAATTTACCTGAGGCTAACTCACTCAGACTAACACTCACAAATACTATCTTCAACCAGACTAACTCGGACTTACTCAGACTCTGACTCACGGCTCGATTTGAGTACGAGTGAGCCGACTTGTCAGTGCGACTTATGATGCAAACACACTAAATGTATTTTATATGTCTCAAAGGTTTGAATGCACGAACACATATACAAATCAAGCACAAATACATGAATACAAAACATCTACGGTAGCTAGTGTTACAACCTTAAAGGTTGTTTTGAAAGAGGCCAGCACATTTTACGAAGTTGCGGCCACTGATACATGCTTGCTCTATTCAAGTGATGAATCTCAGTTTTGAAAGCGGATTTGGATGCACGTTAAAGAACCCCAGGTGGTCAAAATATCTGGAGCCCTCCACTAAGGTGTCTCCCATAATTGTATGGTAATTTTGGAACATTCGACCTCACATATCTATGAATATAAGTTTTGAAAGTGCTTGGTATACGTTGAAATTGCTTTTTAGAACCGGAATTTTTGATAAAACCTCAAATTAAAAGGTTTTACCAGCAGGCCTTTATCAGAATTTTTTTGAATTTATCCAAGAGCACAGAGCTCTAGTCATACCACATGGTTGCAGTGCACAGCGTCGAGTGGGAGCCCTATTTGTTTGTATACAATATAGTGCTGGTAATGAGACCTTAGTCACGGAGGGCGCTTGAGGTACCCTGATCAACTTATCTCTGGCGTGTAGGTGCAGCGGCCTCTGGTATTCAGTCGTTACACGAAGCCCATCTGCATACCATCGAGTCCGATCAATCTGACAGACATGCGATTAACGGTGGCTGGCTGGGGACGACTTGGTAACGGTAAGTCACCGGAATCGGGCGTGTGCCGAAACGGGAGAATAGCGAGAACGAAGCGCGAATACACTAATGAACGCCAATGCATCGCGTATAAAAGGAACCAACACAAAGTGACGTATGAGGGCTCTAAGACATAAGCAAGGCAGAGGAGGTCATCACTGCTTCCGCTGCCGAAGCATTCCGATGCTTTTCAAAAGTAATGTGGTTCCCCGAAGCCAGAAGATTACAGATGTTATGTAAGTTCACATTATGTCTGCGTTGCCAAAAAAGTAACTAAATTTATTACCTGTTACGCTTACGAAAAAAAGAAGTAACAACATTTACCACCTAAGGGAACAATGTGGCCCTGGCGTTCACTTGTGTTTCCACTTGTTGTGTCCATTTGTACGTTTCCGCGGTTTATTTTTCATTTGTGTGTGGAGTTTTGTATATGTTGTGTACTGCTTACGCTACTTATTTCCGATGGGTGTATATTACCGTGCACGTGCCGCAAGGGGAACACCCAGCGCTGCTGCAGAGAGCAGCGGAACGAGCGACCGCGGCATTATATGCGAGCGCACAGCTGTGGTGGAGAGATAAACGGGAGAGGAGAAACGAAGTGGAAGAAGCGCTTTGCCACCTCCTCGCACCTCCTCACATGAGCGCGAGGAGAAGGGCCTCGGCGACCATGCGCTTCTTTAAGTGCGCACGCGCCAACTCTCCCCATCTCCTAACGGGAGCGCGAGGAGAGGGTCCTCTCCTCCTCGAGCTCAAGTGAGGAGAGGGGGAAAGTTGGCGCTTGCGCAGTAACTGTGGTCACGCCACACACAGGATCAAGCTCCGTCACAAGCTGCTTCGCATCTAAAAGGAACACGTTAAAGTGCTACGTTAGCCACATAAAGATGATGCGTTACCTTAGTCGTTGCCGAAAAATTGTAACGTACACTAGTTGCGCCATTACTCCCGGGTCAGAAATTTGAAGCATCATCGTGAACTCGCAGCAGGAACCAGCATACGAAGTTTATGACAAAGCGGGGACCACGCTCGGCTGCAAAGCTGGCGAGAGGACGACGAGGCAGAAAATAGGACAGTTCGCCCAGGAACGAGAGTTGTCTCTTTGTCTGGTTCTTCTACAATGTTTTTATTTCACATAAAAATTTAACTAAAACAACTTTCTAGCTGAATTGTTGATATAACTATTTTTTTGAATTTAGCAAAAAATAGCGGCCTAATGTTTACTGCAGGGTCTGCATATGATGGCTTATAATATCTTGGAAATGGTAAGCCGTTTCTTAAAGTGACAGTATGCAATAAGACGTCATCCCCAATACTCTCCGGATTTGATGAAAAACACTCATCTATCTCTACGCGAACATGCAGTGATCGTGAAGGCGCGTTCTGCTAGCGTGCAAAACACACGCGCCGATCTTTTAGGAATAAAAATATACTTACACTGCGTAGTTTAGGGTAAAATAATTGCAGCATAAATACTTTCTGCAGCTTTTAACCTGTATTCTTGCCGGAAAAGTGAGAAGGTTTATTCGGGCGCGTTCAATGTAAGCCTCAATCGCTCGAGAATTGAACAACCGGAAAGGTATATTCGTGTTTACAAGAGTAGAGAAGCACGCTTTATTTTGATAACTGAACTCATAAATAGCAATAGTTATAGCGCGAGAACAGAACGGCGACACAGAGACAAGAAGGACACGAAGGACACGTCTTGTCTCTCTGTTGTCGTTCTGTTCTCGCGCTATAACTATCGTCATATCGTACCAACTAGCCCAAGCTGCCACACTTCATAAATAGCGTCGTAATATTGCAGGAATCACTTGTTGACCATTAAAAAATTGTGGAACTTCACCAACAGCTGTATTTCTAGCTAAGGTTAAAGCTTGGGCGAGTTGGTTCAAATACATGATTAAAGACACAGCGCAAACAACGGCAGGAAGAAAGGAAGAGACAGGACAGAGCGCTGACTTACAACTGATCTTTATTAGGAAATGCGAACAAATATATATCATGGCAGGCAAAAAACACGTGTCCACCACAATATCAAAAAATTTCGCACAAGCGTCACCATCACCATATCGCTACTGTCACACCGCACACGTGTTCATCCTACAGATAAGAAGTCCATCTCTTTTTGAGAGAGGGTTACAGATGCCCTACTTACACATTGATCTTTCAGACGTGCAATTTCAGCCGCTTCCATTATCTCCCTAGTTTTTCTTTCTTTGTGCCTGGCTAGGATTTTAGTGTCGCGAAACTGCGGTGTGCACCCACAATCCCTACAATGGATGCCAAGGTGGCCGCTAATAGTATTTTTCACGTTGTACTCGTGCTCCTTCAATCTTGTGTTTACGCACCTTCCTGTTTGGCCCACGTATATCCTTCCACAGGACAGCGGGATCGAATAAACTACATTTTCCGCGCAAAGTATGTAGCTAAATTTATGATTTACTGCGCAGAGCTGCGGCCCTCTTGCGGGTTTATTCACTTGCGCACATATGGACAACAGCTTTATCGGCGCAGAGAACAGCACTCTGACGTTGGCATGCTTCCCTATCTTTTTCAAATTGTGTGCGATCCCATGCATATACGGCACAACGGTACACTTTTTATTTCTGTTGCACTCCGATAACGATTGCCGGCCCTGGGTATGCTTTAGCTTTTTTAAAATAGATTCTGCGACAGAAATTAACAGATGTGATGGATAAGCTGCTGCCTTAAGGCGTTCAAGTTGTTTACTGAAGCTCTCTGAAATTAAGTGGCGACAAGACTTCTTTAGGGCATTAGTAAAGCACGTAGTGGCAATAGACCTCTTTACCAATTTAGAATGGCAGGAATCAAAAGGTAGCAATGGTTTACTGGCTCGTGGCTCATACTCCCAGCAAATGTGATCTGTTTCAAATTTAAGCTTAAGATCAAGAAACCTAATGACCTGCCCCACTGGTAATTCATGCGTCAAAACAAGTGGCTGGAAATGCTTTCGAAATTCATTTAGCACTTCTAACATTAGTGGTTGTAGGCCTGATTCGTCCGTCTGAAAAATAACTAAGAAATCATCTACGTAGCGGAAGACCTTGGTCAGCCTTAAAACATTCATATGGTCGTGCACTTGCCTATCTAGATGCGCTAGGAAAAGATCACTTAATATCGGAGCTATGCTAGATCCAATGCAGACCCCATTTGTCTGGATGTAAACCCTGTCATTCCAAGTTGTAAACGTCGAATTAAGGTACATGGTTAAAAGCTCTAAAAAACTGCCAACCGCTAACCCTGTGTCGTTCTGAAAGGCGGTTGCACCATGCTTATCTATACACTCTTCAATACACAGCATAAGTTGACTATGAGGCAAAGAATAGTAAAGGTCCTTTACATCCAATGAGCATGCCATGTAGCTTTTGTCGTTACAGGTATCTAAAAACGCAATCACATCGTCCGAATTTCGCACAATAAAGGGGTCATTTACTTCCAATTTCCTTAACTTTTCTTGCAGAAACGAAGACAAGCATTTCTGCCACGTACCACTTTCCGATACTATTACCCTTAATGGCATGTCCACTTTATGGGTTTTTGCAGTGAAAAACATATGCAAGCTCCCACCTTTGCTTTTGTCAATCGATTTCACCAAGCTCTCAAGATTTAGTTTTTTACATAGCTTCTTGGCTTTTGACCTAACCTGCTGAAGGGAAACATTTTCCTTTAAGGTGAAAGCTGAAGATATCGCTACCTCAGCTTTTGATATAAACGTGCACTCTTTTAAAACTAGGAAGCCCCCTTCTTTATCGGACGGTAACACAGCCAAAGCGTTAGTTCTCAAGAAGGACACCGTCTGCCGAACTCGAAAGTCATTCTCCCTCTGACCGCACTTCACCAATACATCAACACCTTCAGACACGCACCTGTCAGCGTCCGCCTCTGGAGCCAGTTCAGACACTTGTCTCACCAAGGTTAGCAGTTCAGGCGCAGTCTTTACAGGTTGTATGGCGAACTTCGGTCCTTTGTTCAGAACTTTGCGAATGCCGTCCGGAAGAGACACATCCCCGAGGGTCTTGACACCGTCGACGTTTGCCCTTGTAAACTTAGGTTCAGAAGCACGAAGTTCAGCTAAAGTTTGCATCCACATAAACTCAGCTGTTGAATCCGCCAGGCTCCTGAATTCTCTCCATTTTCTAATTGGTCGAGGTTGTATATTTGGGCCATGAAGGCGCAGGAACAAGCAATCCTTGTAAAACCTTGCCTGCCTATTCCACTCTGCACGTATAATTTTGCACATTCTTGTTCCATGTCCTTGCGATGGAAAGAAGCCACCAAAAAGCACCAAAACTTCTGGCGGCAGCCACTTCTTCTTTAGATAAAACGACAGGGTACGTGCTCGGCAGACAGAGACGGCGAAGAGGGTGATGAGGATGTAAGGATCCACATAGGAACAGTTAAAAGAGCCCTGTGTACTAGAAATGAAACTTGCTAAGGTTAAAGCTTGGGCGAGTTGGTTCAAATACATGATTAAAGACACAGCGCAAACAACGGCAGGAAGAAAGGAAGAGACAGGACAGAGCGCTGACTTACAACTGATCTTTATTAGGAAATGCGAACAAATATATATCATGGCAGGCAAAAAACACGTGTCCACCACAATATCAAAAAATTTCGCACAAGCGTCACCATCACCATATCGCTACTGTCACACCGCACACGTGTTCATCCTACAGATAAGAAGTCCATCTCTTTTTGAGAGAGGGTTACAGATGCCCTACTTACACATTGATCTTTCAGACGTGCAATTTCAGCCGCTTCCATTATCTCCCTAGTTTTTCTTTCTTTGTGCCTGGCTAGGATTTTAGTGTCGCGAAACTGCGGTGTGCACCCACAATCCCTACAATGGATGCCAAGGTGGCCGCTAATAGTATTTTTCACGTTGTACTCGTGCTCCTTCAATCTTGTGTTTACGCACCTTCCTGTTTGGCCCACGTATATCCTTCCACAGGACAGCGGGATCGAATAAACTACATTTTCCGCGC